GTTAAACCGTGTACAGAGCGTAATGTTCAGAAAAGCTTCATTCTGATTCTCGTTTAGCTATATATATTTTTTTTTTAAAAATCAGGGTTTGTATTAAATGGAGACACAAGCAAAATTTTCATTTCTTCTTTTTGAATGTTTCATTCATTATTCTGTAAATGTCCTCAAAATGAATACACTAGGCAGTCAAAGGAACAAAACTTTTCTCCTTATAAAGAATAAAATGGCGGTGTCCTAACTTGACCCACATGGGTCAGGTTAGAGTGTTTAGATTTAAAATATTTGACACAGTGAACTCTAGAAAGTTAACGAACATGACAAATGATTGGCTTTGACTTGTTTCAATCATACAGTATCCACAATATCTGTTTTTTTTTAACTTCCTGGATTTATTCAAGTCACATGACTTGTTTTAAAACTATTTAGTGATTATGCCGGTGTTTAAATTTCGTTCAACATATGTAACTATATTTACGCTTCAACCCAAAAATATACAAAATTCATACAAAAATCCAAGCTGGGACTTTATAGAAATGTCATTTAGTGTAATTTGAGTACATGAGATCATTTATATATATTTTTGTAATATATTTGTCATTGCATGAGCATTCCTTTAATACAAGTTTCAAGAAACTCTTGTTAAGATTATTATTTGCTCATATAAGAGTTAAATAGTTTCATCGCAGTGATTTATTGAAATAATGTTATTTGTCACTGAACATGTCTTATGTGCAACATATGTTTGGGAAGCTTATATTCCCAAAATTTTCAAGTTCGTGCGCTTTGTTTAACAAAATGAACACAGTCATTTTTTAACGTACTCATATTTTGTTGATTTATAATTTGTAGAGTTTAAAAAGTAAAATGTATATTTGTATGTACAAACAAAGATGGTTATTCTACTTTTTAAAAAGGTGTGTAGCAGTATTTTCAAATATCACAAATTAAGCATAATATCTATATACTTATTTTCTTTAATTATGTGTTGTTCAAATTAGAAAGGAATTTTTAATTGATTTGAATTTAAATACGTAGCAAAATATAATAAATATAATATTCTTACTGGCATTACAGAAACAGATTAACATAATAAAAATCCATATTGTAAATAAAGATACCGCCATGATGTACACTTTAAATAGCTACTACACTATTGAATGAAATACTTATACGATGTTTTAATTCACGTATTTCTCGTAACCAGAAGAAAATTAAAGCATAAAGCATGGAAAAGTTTAAACTTTGTAAACGCTTCAGTATAAAGTGATATCGTAATAAAACCTGAAAAGAATGCTGTCCGAATAAATGTTATTTGAATTATAATATTCAAAATGAAATAAAATATTTAATGTATGTAATTTTCTTTTGGTTGTACCTCGTACAAGAAGATTTTGTCAAACGAATCCTGCCATTATCAAATAATAATGTTAAATTTTCAGGTTTCCTGATTTTTCCAGATTGTTTGATACAAGTTAAAATGTGTTTGTTTGTTTGGATTTTTACGGCACGTCAACACATAACTGGCCATATCGTGCCGAGTTAAAATGTGGGAAGCATGCAAGTTAAAATGTGGGAAGCATGCAAATTGAATAGTATTCAATGATTTGCCTCAAAGTGTGTTGTAAAGCTCATTTTGACAGTGTCAAACTTATTAAATACGTTGTATATTTCAAAACGTTGACTATCTAAGGGCAAATTATATTCATTTTATTTTCATCTTTTCCATTCAGTTGAAAAAAAGAAATGAGAAAATATGGCAGATACGCAAACATCTAATCTTAAAGTTTAATATTAAGATTTAAATTTGTGTACACCTGCAAAAGCCTTATTCGAAAAGCAATTGATTCAAATCGTGACTTTATTTTGTTATAAATTGGCTAAGTATATTATATAACGAATATGTAAAGAGAAGATAATTAATATAAATTGTTTAATAATCAAGTATTAATATTCAGTACTGTTTGAATAAAAGATTAGATCAGATAAAGAAATGAAGTCCTATGGAATTTTACCTACTGCGTTGTCGGTATCTGACATTTTACACGCTACATTTCATTAATTACTCCATTGTATTCAAATTCAATAAAAAGAATCAACAGGTACAGCAATAAAATATTATTAACACTTTGAAAAAACAAAGAACAATAGACTTCTAAAGTTTAACAGATGCAATTGTTTTACTGATGAAACAAATTGTCAAGTGAAATGCACAAAAACAGAACTTGAAGCAATTTAGTTGTTTTAGCCCTTCTGGTTAAGTTAAGTGCTATGAATATTTGTGACGTATACGCATATTAATGTGCTACGACATACACAAACGTCAAAATGTGTTTTTTATCAAACTTACATCCGAGTCTGCAATTTTCATGTAATTTTGTTGTGAATCCTGCTGCTTCTCAGGGATCACTTTGTTTCCAGATTATTATTTTACTGTTTCTAATTATTTTAAATAATACGTGTAAGCTCTCTGTATTGAATAATTTTTAGATCTCTTTGAGGATAAATTATAATTATAATTTACCTAAATTAAACTTTACCTTTCATAATCAGCATACCAATAATTTAAAATAAAGATAGCATTTTGAGTTGATATTAACAATTATGGTTTTGTGCCTTCAGTAAACTTCAGACCTGTAGATTTCTCTCATATCAATATTTGTCCCGTCTTTAAAGCCGAATTAGATGAAAAAGAAATATAGCTTCCTATAAGGTACTGGTTTCCAAAATAACAAAAGGAACAAAATGGCCCTTTTATCGCTCAACTGACTGTATTCTACACTGTTTGCTATGGTGCTGTGTAAGTCACTTTTTGCCATTGAAAGTCAATGGTTCAGATGAAATTCACTAGTTGTTATGGAAGATAATGATTACAATGGAAAATCAATGATTTCTATTGAAGTTACTTGTTGCTTTTGAAAATCAGTCGTTGCTGTTGAATCCATGACCACCCCGGAACTTGGCCAATAAATTTGAATGAACTTGACTATGTACACTTAAATAATTTGTGTGGAGATCAACACGGCAATTTGATTTGACAATTATCTGAGCTCTAAACACTGTAGACTTAAATTATTTTCCTTTATGATTTAAATAATAAATTTAGTATATAATATATAACAGTTATTATATATAATAATCTGGACACACAAAGTAAAGGTCCACTAAATAATGTTTCAAGCCATAAAAACACTGTAGCCCTAAATATTTTTAGAATGTGCGCATAATTGTTTATCGCGTAATTGTATATATAGAATCAAAACGCATAATCAGCGGGACAGGGTCAATTTTGTCAGAAAGGCTATGATTTGAACATTTTGTTAAGGTAAATATCTAACATAAATCCATTGCATTAATATAACGAAAACCCATGATCACTAGCGAGGGACAATTTCGACCACAGGGCTATTATTTGAAAACAGTTTTGCAGAGTTTTATTAGATGATTATACTCAAAAAGAATTTAAGCTCTATGCCATCCACTTTCAGAGACGATTTAATTAAGATTTTACTTTACAAATCTCCTTTCAGCATTTCAGACCCAGATGTTAAATGGAGCAGGACATTTAAATAATAAGTTTCAGTAGAGCGTTTTAGAACGTCCCAATAAAATTTCATCAAATTTGGCCGATTAAACGAAAAATCTTCATGAAATCGTTTCACGCAGACGCAATGACGTACATACGCCTTGACGGACGATGTTCTCCAGAAAAATTGTGATCATAAGAAATCACATGATCGTGGGTACTTTGCGCTCCGGTGAGCAAAATACCTTGTTAGGCAAGACGATTCGTAGAATTGTTCAAGCACCTGTTAAAATGTAACCTTCACTGCCTTTCTACGAAAAGCGGCGTATGGTCCCAAACTAAATAAATTCGCGTGCCCTTAATTATAAAACAATGGCGAAACTGAATTAAATGAAATTTGAAAGAGAAAATCTTAATATTACAGACAAGCTGTCGAAAGGCAAATTTAAAAAGTAGGCAGCATATTATAAAGGGATGTTGATAGCACTAGAAACCAAGAAGGACATCATGGCACATATATCTCACATAATAAAGGCTATAAATAAAAAGGTGCAATAAATATTGTCAACTTTGAATAACAGAACAGATATAATGGCAAAATCTTCAATTCATATTACATATATAGAGATTGTAAATCAACTTTTCCATATTTAGGCTCTATGGCCTTAATCGAACATGCACATATTAAAATGTTAATTAGAACTCAACAAAATTTGTGACAAATTTCCATGATATTTTGGCCGAAAGAGTTAGGTCTTCAGTTGGGTGTAAAGGAGGGTTTTCTATAATCTGCTCACTTTAACATCACTTAGCTAGATGGCCAATATTCGTACTTGATCTAGATATCATAGAATATTGTAAACAAGATCAACAAGGAAAGGCGGCGTTCAATGAACGCAACCCCCATATGACCCAGCAACAAGAACCAATTGCAAGGAGCCCAGACGGACCCCAAAGAAAAACAGGACAGGGCAAAGACAGAGCAAAGCCATCTTCCTGCCTTATATTGCGATACCATCATCAAGGCAGGTTCTACTTAATAAATCTTTGGTCAGGTACAATATATGGTCCAGATAGAGCTCTGTCCGAATATGTGGCATGCGAGGTGTTGGTCACATTATATTGTAATTACTTTATTATATCTAAAGAAATAATTTGGCTTTTATGAATTGCTCATTAGAGCACACTATTCGTAGTTTGTCCTATATTTGTCTTGTTTGCCGATGCACCAAATTAAATACGTTTCGATTCAATAGACATAAAGTAATTTTTTGGACAAATATAATATTAAACTCTAAACTACATTATAATAATATGACAAATATGTAATATTGAATATTGTGAATAGATGCAAACTCAGCTTGACAACAAGGTGACTCATTTGTATTATTGTGACATTGTGTCTTCTTATTTAAAGCATGCAGTCGTGACAATCGCAACAATCATTTCCACCATTTTGTTTTTGTTCGTTACCAAATTAAAATTGTTACGATTTAATAGAAATACAGAAATCTTATCAGATAAAAAAACACTTTCAACACTTAACTTCTCTGAAATAACATGACAAAATGTTATGCTGACTATTGTGAATTAATACAAACTCAGTTTGTCAACTAGGTGCCTAATTGTTGTTTATATATTTGCGACAATTTTCTTCATCATTTAAAACAAGAATTATCCTTTAAACAGTCGTGACAATGGCAACAACCATGGCCACCATTTTGTTTGCTAGAGCTCCCTTTGTCCTTTTCGCCTCCAGATACAGCAATGATAAGACTTATACTTAAAACAGCTAAACAGATTACTCCAAAAGCTATCAGGGAAGGAGTGACATCCTGTGAAAATGTACAACATCTAGAAATTCCACTATCTTCACAGCATCCAAATGTACACTCCTCAAGTCGCTCTTTATCTTGACTTTTACATGAATACTGGTTGACATTGATTGAAGACGATCCTAGACATCAAATAAAAGTTAAGAGATATTGTGAGACATTTGAGCTCATCAATAACATTTCATTTAATTTTGTAATTCTTGTGTGATGCTTAAAAATACAATAACGTAGTTCTTGCACTTAGGATCTCTATATCGATAAATCGATTTCGGATGAATAAATCAGTAAGTTATTCATCTAATTCGTGTATAAAATCATTTTGTTACTGCGTTCATGTTTAAAATGATAAGGCATGTTTCGTTTGAATAAATATATTTTTTAAATTTCTATGTTGTATTACATCCAGGTACCGCTAAAGCCGGACTGCATTAATGTTTTAAAATTGATGAACAACAATGTATGCAATGAAAACAACACTAAGTACATGTATCACAGATGAAATCATTTAAATTGTGTTCTCCAAAATATCTTAGGCCAGAAAGTTATCTTACTGTAGCCGTATCTTATTTATTAATGTTATTAGAGAGACATACAGTACATATGGGTGCAATACACTATCGAGAACTTTTCAATCTATGCTTCAATCAAAATTGTTTTCATTTAAAATACAGAAAATAAGAATCCCTAAAGAAAGCTTAAAACGGCAAATTGGAAATTGCTACAGACTCGGTTTGATTGAGACTGTTCGTGGACGGTACGGTAAAGTGCAAGCTACCGTCAACACCCTAGCACCGGCTTAAGCCGAATTCAACATTTTAACATTTTAAATGGTACAATTTTAAATTTAGAAACATCAGCAGATGTGTTCATACGGCTTTTATCATAGAAACTTCAATAAGACACTTTCGTGCCATTCCATACAAGCGGCGTATGGTCCCCAAGTAATAGAAAGTGTATGCCCTAAACGAGATAACAATGGGCTGAACTAAATAAAATGGATTTTGGAAAGGGAGTTAGAGGTTTTGAAGCCTGCATATCACAGATAAGACGTCAAACGACAAAATTCAAAAGCAGGCAACATATCCTTAAGTAGGAATACTGCCAACTAGAAAATGCCAAATAGATAAAACTAAAAATACCACAAACACAACAATAATATCGTGCTGAACGTAAGTATAACATATCTGATTTAAGACTTAATGAACCCAAAAATGAATTAATTTCAAATTTAACTGAACGTGTGCGCGCGCGTGTGTGTGTGTGTGCGCTCGCGCGTGTGCGTGCGTGTGTGTGTGTGAGAGAGAGAGAGAGCGCGTGTGTGCGTGTACGTGCGTGCGCGCGCGTGTGTGTGTCATCTTTTTAACGGATTTGTCTGTTTTTGCTACATTGGTCATATGCAATCTTTTCCTTTTTTTTGCCATGAATAAAGATTGTGTAATTTACCATTTTGAATAAAAATCAAAATACTGCTGTCATGATGTCGTGATATGTTTTTCACATTCAACACTGTTTTTAAGAGAAAAACAACTATCCTGGCTTTCATCTTAAAAAAGGTTATTTCTAATTTCTGACTTTTTTTTCCTTAAATGCACGTGATATTATGTTGTACTCTAGTCCCATCTTTAACAAAAAAAATTGAATATTGTTATCTATGATATTAGGTCATAACATATCTACAAAATTTTAATGTTTATAACATCATTGTAACTGCCAGTAATTTAAACTCTCTTTTACCTTTAAAATTAAATTTCGTGTAATACGGTTTGCATAAAATTGTCAACCTTTTTATTCACATCATGACAATTAACCTTGGCGAACAAAGAAATCCTGTCGAGATTTGTCAAGGAAATTTAAGTTTTCGTTTAAAGTTAAAACACTGCCGATAAATAATCCTGTATCAACGAATTTGTAAAATGTATTTCACAATCATGTTTATTTACAAACGTTCTTGTGCAAAATTTGTATATTTTTTACATTAATATATACTAGTATATTCCTACAGTATATAAACATGGTGAAAGTCAATTTTATGGGTACATGTATTAAATAACTGTAGAAAAAAATAACACTTACGGACAGCACCGCAGCAGAAGAAAATCATTAGGCAACCAAATATTAAAATCCGGCTTTTCGCCATTTTTTTTTCAAACTGAAGTGATTTGGTAATCTAATACGTAAGAAATTTCTTTTAAGTGATATTTTACGTTCAAAGGAACGATCTGAATTTGAAAAAATTCGGATATTCTATTCCGCCTTAACTGTCTTAAAAAACCTTTTGTCTATTTAGACGTAGCGATTGTCTGAGAGGCAAAAAAACAACAAAAAACACAATGTGTAAAGGTTGTGGCATTAAATTGCAGCCAACGTTAGTCCTTGCGTGATTGGAAGAGGCGTATAAATAGGTTTGAAGTACTGTTATCAATTTCTTTTCAAAGTTAAACAATTGATTAATCCCTATTTTGACCTTTTATTTGATTGACATTAGATGTTAAGTTTAATTGAATTTAACCACAATCATTGACATGTTCTCTTCTGTTAACGAATATATTGTGGTGAATTTCTCATAGTAAACTGTCCACTAATCTGATTAAATAGAATTAAATAGGTCAGGGTTGGGAACTTTGCATTGGATTCTTACAACGTTTTGATAGATTACTTGAAACGCACAAGATAGGATAGTCATGTAATTAGTTACAAAGAAATTGTTAAACTAATCAATCGCTAATGACTATGCATTACCTTCTGCATTGTACAGGGTAATTAAGTCAAAACGAAACTTAGTCTTGCAGAACACAATTAAATGCATTATATTGTATCTACTAGTTAATATTAAGGCACGTCTAATAGTCAATACTGCCAGTCCAATATAATAATGCAACAAGAAGATTATATTTTCGCAGGTGTTATACGGACTGAATTCTTTATTTTTAAACGTATTAAAACGTATACTTCTTTAAATTTTATTGTAAAACAATGGTGTCAGAGGCAATTTTACTTCAATTTGCTGTTTCCTTATCTGTAGCTTTCCGTTTTAAAAAGGTAACATATCCATAATTTTGTGTTCATAATAATACAATTAATGTCATATAAAATACACGATATCATGCACGCATGATATCAACTCAATAATGTAAAGAAAGTACTGTGAAAGTACTGTGATTAAATTTCTTTTTTAAATGATCCCTATATAATGACCTTTTATTTCGTTAACATTAGGTTTAAAGTTAACAATAATCATAATTTGACATGTTCTCCAAATATGCTGTGGTGAAATTCTTCTCGTAAACTATCTACGAGTCTGATAATAAGAATAAAACAGGTCATGTGAGAGATTTACATTGATCGCATTAACACGCACAAAGTAGGGTATTCATATAATTAGCTACAAAAATTGTAAAATAATCAATCGTTAATAACATAACTGATCATTGCCTTATACAATGAACAGAATAATTTATGGTTATTGAAACAATAAGATACCAAACGATGACTCCTACAACGGGTCATGCATTTGGAGAAAATCCTAATGTTACAATTACAAAAGCAATTTCGTTCGGGACATAACTTGAGGACTATAAAGGTATCAACTTTGTAGGTAGATATATCTCAATGAGTATACATGCAGTGCATAAAAACAGTAACCCTCCTGTTAATGCCCTATATCCACTTCAATAATTTGAACTTTGTCCAAGACATAACTTGAAAAATATAAAAGGTATCGACTCGAAACTTTGTAGCAATATACATCTGAATGTGAAGAAGTGCAGTACAGATGAACTGTAACCCCGTCCTTATTTTAGAATTATTTCCATTTCTTCAAATTTACAGTTTGAACTTTGTCCAGCATAAACTATAAAAAGGGTATCAGCTAGAAACTTGAAGTTTGGATTCTGTTTTTCTCTATTTTGTACGTATCTAAAAGTCATGTACATATAAAGAACCTTATCCCTCCTTCCCTTTGTCTAGGAATATAAAAGGTATCAACTTGAAACATTTAAGGTAGATTGATCTCACAGTGTAAAAATGCAGTGCATTACAAGCCTTACCCTCCCTATTGAGTTATTGCCCTTGTTTTCATTTTTATACTTCGAATTTTTTTCGGAACTTAACTTGAGGGTTATAAAGTTATGTACATAAAAATGTGTAAGTATATGGATATTACGGAGTAGACGTACAGTGCATAAAAAACAGTCACCCTCTCTACATTTTTCTTTAAATCAACTATAAGGTCCGTGACAAAACTTGAGAACTTTGAAAGGTATCGACTTGTAACTGTGTAAATATATACATCTAAATGAGCAGAAGTGTACTGCAGAAGAACGTAACCGCCATCCTTCCTTATCTGGAGTTATTGCCCTTTGACCAATTTTACTCTTTGAATTTTGTACTGGACTTAACTTGATAACTACAAAGAGTATCAACTTGAAACTTTGTAGGTAGATAGACCTGACAGAGTAGATCATACAAACTCTAACCCTCCTTGCCTAATTTTGGATTTATTGCCCATTTTTTTACACTTAAATCATTGCCCAGAACTATAAAAAAACGTAAAAGTGCTGAAATCTCAGTGAGACCTTAAAATTCCATATTTAAACCTTTATTTATCTTATTGATGTAAGACAATTAATTAAATCAAACAAGAAAGAATATATAAATCCCTATTTGCACAATTTTCAACTAAGAAGCAAGTTTTTTCACAAGTTCATGCCGGAGGTATTCGGCACTTATTATTTAATAAGCTCTGTTTTTACTTAGTGTACATCAGGTAAAATTGACATTGCGTCCGTGATTAAATGGGCTCGATCCCCTTAATGGGCTTTGGATTTTTTATGTTATAAAGCTATCCGGCCAGCTTACGGAACGTCGGTGGTTCTACTCAAATGCAAATCTGACCCTGAAAAAATGCACGAAGGGGAACATGAGTTTTTCATCCATCAGGAAAGCTTGGAAGTCGTCATATGTTCACTGCTGTTTTTGGTACGATCTTAAACCAATACAAAATAGTAGTTAATAAAAATAAATAAGTTCAAGTGTGATAAATGACAAATATGTATAACATATTATAAAAAGGACGGTGTTATAGGACTGTATAACGCGAAGTCTCCCCTTTACTACAAATAACGTAACACTTACATATATTTCGCCTGGTAGCGCTGCACAATAGCTACGAGAGACCATTTGTTTGTTTTTGGTTTTACGTCACATCGACACAGTATAGGTCATATCGCGACGTTCCAGCTTTACTGGTGGAGGAAGACCTCAGATGCCCTTCCGTGCATTATTTCAGGCACGAACGGGCACCTGAGTAGAACCACCGACGTTCCGTAAGCTAGCTGGATAGCTTCCTCACATGAAAGAATCCAAAGTCCCTGTCGGGGAGAGACCAAAGATATCAAAATACTTTATATGCAACGGGTCACTTAAATTTCAAATCATGTATTCAGTGTAATTTCTTTCAAGTAATTTCATTTTCATATTGTAAACTTATGCAAAATATCAACCAAATGTTGCAAGAAAAGTAATTTTATTTCTTTTTTATTTCTATATCAATCATTTTAAATATGTTAACGTTATAATCAGTTATTTTACTCCAATTTAAGAAATATTTAAAAAGATTATTTTTATCTGCTAAATTTCAATTATCTATTACCAACATAGAAATACAAAAATAATTTATCTTTTATTGCTTACCCTTAGAAGAGTGTATTCTCATGTTTACTTATAACACTAACTTGAGTAGTCTGGTACTTTACGAAAAATGTTTCAAATAATACAGGCGGTTGTGTCATAGAAATTAAATTACCGCGAGACTCTACCTACCTGCAAGGAAGCGTATCTCCGTTATATACTTGATAGGAGTCGATAAGGGAAACAGTATATTTGACATGAACATACTCCTCATATGGCACAGAAAGAATGCCTAAATTACAAAACGGTTAGCAATTAAGGTTAAATTGAGCCTGTATATAAACGACACTGATAAATGAGATCTTTCTGACGTAGTTCTACTTGACACAAGAGCAAGAAGGAAGGGTGGCATTCAATAAAGGCTTCACACACACACGACCCAGTAATACAGGAGTATAGCAGGGCACCAAATTGCCGGAAAGTTAAAGAAATGTCTAAGGAGAACAGCACCTTCTATTTTATTTAATTTTGAAAACAAATGAAAGGAATTGAAAGAATCCAGGTATCTAAAAAGAACATATTACAATTAACATTTTACATTCAAGTTTCATTCCGACAAATTTCGTGACGTTTATACCAGTGCTTAACAAGAGCCACCGCCGGGCGGGGGCAATGCTCGACTTTTTACTTTTTCTAAACGCAAACATAGAAAGGTTTGAACATATCTTAACGTTTCCTTTTTATAAATTTAGTTGGTCTGTCTTGTCACATTAGTTTTGTTTATCTATTTTGTATATATATATATGAATAGAAACACGCAATTCTATAAATAGAAACATTACGCAATTTTAAAAATAGAAACATGACGCAATTTCTAAAAATAGAAACATGACGCAATTTCTAAAAATAGAAACATGACGCAATTCTAAAAATAGAAACATGACGCAATTCTAAAAATAGAAACATGATGCAGGCAATTCTAAAAATAGAGACATGACGCAATTCTATAAATAGAATGACGCAATTCTATAAATAGAAACATGACGCAATTTCTATCAATAGAAACATGACGCAATTTCTATAAATAGAAATATGACGCAATTTCTATAAATAGAAACATGACGCAGTTTCTATAAATAGAAACATGACACAAATCTATAAATAGAAACATGACGCAATTCTATAAATAGAAACATGACGCAATTCTATAAATAGAAACATGACGCAATTCTATAAATAGAGTTGTTGTTGTTGTTGATGATGATGATGATAATAGATATGTATTAAATATGTATATATATATATATATATATACTCACACACACACACACACACCAATAAATATATAATTATGGTCATTTTAATGCACAAATCTGAGAAAATTCAGTAATTTAACCTTCAAGGTCAAAGTCATTAAAGAGCCCAAGCAAATTTGGGTTTGATAAACAACAAGGTCTGGTCCTTAAGAATACTCTGTTATAATATGAAGTTGATCCCTTCAATAATAGCAAAGTTACAGTCAGTTACCGCCAAAACAATGAAAATTTCAATAATTTGACCTTCAAAGACAATGTCATTAATGAGTGAAGGTCAAGGTCTTTATGTATATTTTTAACAGTTATCTTTGAAGATTATTATGTTCAAGTTTCAAGACAATCCATTCAAAAATAACAAAGTTACAGCCAATAATAGCCAAAAAAATGGGTCAAAGACAGAAAAGGCCGGGTTGCATTTGTACACCA